GAGTTGCTGGAGGTGCAGGACTACCACTGTAGTGCTGTAGAAACAACAGGTTTCCCAGAGTGATGGCTAGCATTACTACTATTGATATTAGGGGGAAAAAACACACACTTTGTTATCTAAGTGAAGAACAATAGGATGCAGTGTGGCAGGTTAATATAAAGTCAGAAGTAAATATTTGTGTGTTCCTATTTACTTTTAGCAAAGATCAATGAGATCAGTAAATCATAGGGGAAAACTGAAAATTGGATCATGTTACTTTCATCCTTTGAGGTTTCTACCCAGTAAAGATTAGAAATTACTTGTTAGGTCTGCTTGCTTTCTAATTGTTTTTAAAATTTATGGAAGTGAGAGGATGGACTACTAGTGCACTGAATGTGGCACTTCTTATATCCACAGTGGTCAATTCTGCTCGTTCATTTGTTTGCCTCTGATTGTGGGCATAGTCTACAAGTCTGAATATGCCAGATTTACTTATCTGGGTTCCCAGATGTTAGAAGCAGTAGGCAATTCCAGATCCTTCCTCAATTTCTGTGGAAGATTACTAGGACTTCATAACTCCTCAGTTAGGAATGTCTACTCACGTAACTAGTGTTTTAAAATAGCTTTTTAGTTATTCAACTCAGTGTTCTGCCAATCATAGAATTAAAGCACTATAGTTATGTCAGTAGTAATTTTTGTGGCCTTCAGAGTACATGTTACATCAGTGAGACCACCTCTACCATTTTGGGGATGAAGACGTTCTCCTAATTAAGGGGAAAAGTACTTCCCAAGTCTATGGAAGCTCCTCAGTATCTTACCAGCTTGGATCCATCTCTTCCTGCTTTAAACTACAGAGACTAGTTTTGTTCTTTCAGCCACACAATTGCCTGATAGTGGAATATGATTAGGGTAATATGTCCCATTGTTTTCCTTTTTGGCCTTTCTACATTGAGTAGAATGGTCCATTTGCCTCTTCACTATATGTTCTGGAAGTCATTTTGTGATCCAAACCTTAAAAAGCCCTTGTATCCATGCAGTTTGTCTTTTGGAGTCTGTGCATTTCTGTGTGAATTCCAGGCTACATCCACACTAGTCATGGGCACTCTGACCTTCCCAGGACTTCATATTCGTCCTTTGGATAGATGCTTCAATCTAGACTATGTGTTATGCCAGTAGCAATTCAAATAATCCTTGGTATCCTTCATGTCCTCTGCAAGAATGGCCTTTTTATGTCAGCAGACCAGCTTGGATCTTCAGGAAGGATTTCTTCGTTGTATAGAAAAAGATTATTATGTCAACTGTTCTGTTAACTTGTGTTTCTCAGGCAAAGACACCTTTGGTACTAGGCCACAATCTGAAGTTAAGTCCCAAAAGAAGTTCTTCTCTCTGAGTTACATCATTAACACTTCAGAGAACGCCATAGCAGCTCTCAGACAGACTTAATTCTAAATCAAACCATCATCTGGAGTGAGCAGCTTGTGTTTCGCCTGTCAAAAAGGTGCTGCTAAGTAACTGATGTGGTCCATCTCTTTTTAGGCCAGAGAGGTTGCCATGGTAACCTATTTAAATGTAGATAGCTACACTTTTGAGTCATCATCAGAGCCCAGCTTTGATAGTACAAGCTTTGGATTGACAGCCAGTACTGCATATTGTGTAGGTTGGCACGCCTCTGGACCAGAAGGTCCTGGAATTGCTGCTGTTGCTGCCGGATGAGACTTGCAATGGAAAAAAATATGTAGCTCCTTGAGTTCTCTCTAATACTCTCTTGAATGGCAGGCTTGTATTCCTCGGTGTTCTCATACTATAAAGGGACAGGCTGAAGAACACACTCCTTAGTATGACAACTTCTTCCTTCCAGTTTAAAAGTCCTTCACCAAGACAATGAAGGTTCTTGGAACAGAAGCCTCTGGGAAAGAGGCTGTGTTACTTATTTTAGGGGAAATATAATTTAAAGTTTTATCACAGAAGTTCTCCTGAAAATGCTTTTCGTGATACATGCATTTGTAGGAGTGCAGAACAGTTTTAAAGTCAGGTATCCTGAGGAATTGTGATTCTTGAAAAATTTTGCAAATTAAGTGCTATCATCTCAAGTGTTTCCCATCTGGGAACTCCTCTACATCCTCAGTTTCCAACTTCTACAGGAATCTCGTTTCCCTGTGTTTGAAAAGATGGAAAAAGCATTATGTTAATTTAATCATAAAGTTTCATTCACATCCAAAAGGACTAGTACAACACAATTCATCTATTTGCATTTGGTTCTGCTGATAGTAACACAGCTAAGTTGAATCTATCTACACCTGTTCAATGTAAAACTTTTGCTTCTCTGTAAGAATTCTTGAAGAGTCAAAAACTGTTCTCAGTCCTGTTAAAATTAGATCCTTCATTGGCAGCTTCTCTAGAAGCTTATCCAGTTACACAAAATACAGTTTCCTTACTCTGTAGTTGTGCAGCAGAACGTATGTCTTTGCTGGCTAAAAGGAAAACTTTGTTCTTGATGTGGGGAGAAAGCTTCTTGTTCTCCCTCCGGAGGGCTATTACCTACGAAGTCCCAACACATGATATTTGCAATATTGTGACTTCACAAATCTGTTCAAGCAAGTTCTTAGAAGTATGTTCTGCTAGGTGCCTACGTGACCATAAAACCTCCTGCTAGCTAAGAAAAAGAAATTGTCACAAGTTTTAAATTACATTTCCCTAAAGTTGCCACTTACAGCATTTCACCATACAAAAAAATCATTCTTTGAGCAG